CATACATACATACATACATACATACATACATACATACATACATACATACATACATACATACATACATATGTACTAATATGTTGATAATAAAATATATAAAGATTTTTGATTTAAAATATACACTGTGATATGAACTATAAGTAATGACTGTGGAAGAGATGCACGAAAGTTATTTGTAACCAATCGACGCATTTCTACAATATGTAACGAAATATGATTTTTTGTGTGTGTTGTTTTTGTCTGCTTAACCAAAAATAAAAATAAAAATTATTTTAAAAAAAAACTTAATTTCAGTCAAACTTTTCATTTTATAGTATTTTGATAACTTCAGAAAAAGTCTAGGAAAGCTGTTATTTGATAAATAGAACTGTATCTTGTGGATAACAATCATCTGATACCAATAAATTTAATTTTATGAGAAATTTTTCTTTGAAGATGTAGCAAGATAACAATTATTTTGGTTACTTTTTTGCATGATGAGTAAATAGCTATTGTTGACCCTTATTTATATAAGTAAAATAAATATTTACTTACACTCCTGCTTTCACAGAGATGATCGGATTTTCAACTTCCAACTCATCTAAATTAGCTATGCCAGCCTGAATGCAGATTGGAAAATGACTTGTACTATTGTGTGAGTAAAGTTCAATTTCAGCAATACTACAATCCTGTAAAGCAAATTAAACCAGAATAAAACAAAACAGATAAGTATCAGTTTTGCAGGAAGCATGGCTAAATATGCTAAACCTTCTTTATTGTAAGGTTATATTAACAGAACCTTGCAAGTCTGAAAGTATATTTCTCTCTTTATTAACACTGATTAAATGAGCATTAAAAACTTGCAAAAGTGAAATATACAAATACAACTTCTTAAAATAGTTGATGAATTTAGAATATAATATATCTGGTTAGTTAAAGGTATCTTAGAAGTAGGATAAGCATACATCTAAGTACACAAGTCTTCATAAATAGGATTGTATTTACAGTTTTTAAGAACTTTTTATGACAATAACTTTTCTAGAGTGGAAACCACTTCATCATTATTATTAATTATATCACTTGTTTTGTTTTCTTACTCTCAAAGAGAAAGAAAGGAAACAATAGTTCTGTTTACTGTTAAGGTAACTCCAAATTGCTAAATAATGTAAGTTGCTTGTAACACTACATTTTGGTTATTATTGTGAATTGATTTATTTAAAGTTGATATAGTCATCTGAAGTTTCTCTTCAGCAGAAATTTTTAGAGGCTGCTTCATATTTTAAGAACCAATTTATCTTTTTTAAAAATTTGGCATTTAAAAAAAGCAAAGGTAGCACTTTATGGTTATACTTTAATTCACAAAATAACCTTTTGGATTCTTTAGAGTTAATAAAGATAGGCAAAAAAGACCTAATGAGAGTTGAATTTCAATGCCTGCAATTTGCTCTCACATTAAAATTTCAACATTAGCTACTCACTTCCCTCTTTTTCAACAATATTTTTGCTATTTTTACGGTTGTATTTTGCTGTATTTTCAAAGATACCATTTGACCACATAAGCAGCACAATCTGTAGTCAAGTCTCATGTACATAGTACGTACTAGTTTAGCATTCTTTAATTGTCAAACAGCAAACAAATGGTAATACAGTGGTGTTTGTAACCTTTGACCTCACTCTGCTATTATCATTGTAATGCCACTCATGCACACTTTTAAAAGGTTGGTAAACATTTGGTTTGATAATAAGCAAAATAAAATATGATAAATAAAGCTTGATATAGGAAAGATAAACCTGGGGCACACAAAAAATTACAAGAGTTATCAAAAGTGTAAGAAAAATAGCTGAATCTTTGATAATTTCAATTTTAATGCTCTGGGCAGGGAAACAAATAATAAAACATTGAGGAAAGATAAAGTAGAGTGACAGGAAAATATATGTAAGGATACCCATTTGGTAGCTACTTGTAGCATCTGATTTTCACAAGAATAGAAGTATTCATTATAATTGTTATACCTTCATTATATGTCTGATGGAACCAATTGTGAAATTTCCTTGAGCTTTCTCTCTGTGAAGATTCAAGATGTCAGTCAGCATCCTTTCTCCTTCTTCTAGAACATATTTCTGACCTTGAAATGTTGGTTTCTCATATAAAATCCAGCTACATTAATGAATATATCAATATCAATATGCCACTCACATTGCAAGCACAGCACCAATACTAACAAGGATCCATGTTTACCATGATAATTATCTGCCGCTTTTCATATGTGTAGAATGAGCATACATACTCACTGATGTATAATATGAACAATGTTTTTTTCCAACAAGAGATTTACATTGCACACTGCTGCAAGAAAAACACCTGCCACTTAGCTACATTATTTTCATTTGTTAAACATATATGTCTTATTTTAAAGATTTTAAAAATCAATAAGGAAAAAAACATTGCCTTTTTTCTTTTTTGTTTGTTTGTTTCATAAGGATGGTTAATTTCCCCAACAGACCATTTTCAAATACTTTAGCCTGTCATTCAGAATGGGCAGGGGGATATACATTGTTTTTCTAATGTTAGAATATGATAGGCTGGCAACAATGGTCACAAAAAAACAATTTCACTCTAACATAGTTTTAGGGATACAATAGAAATAAATGATTTAGTGTTTGTCACTTAATTTTCTGTACTTTGTCTACTTCCCAACATTTCTTGGAAAGCTTACATAATTACGTATCATGAAAATTCTTGCAAGGATTGTTTATACTTGTCATTTGACTTCGCACCAGTGACTCTTCCTAATCCACCACATATGTTTGTTGTGGCAAAACTGGAGGCAGGATCATTATGCATGCTGCTTTGAATTGCACAAAATAAAGGTGGGATATAAAACTGACAATAAATAAATATTATATATTTCCTGATATCACAATTATTATATACTGTCTAGAAATTACTTTAAACTGTTTTTTTGCACATTAATTCATAATATTTCCACATCTATATGCATATTCATCGAGGTGTTATGTCTCTAGTCTTATTCCTAATAAAATATATTTTCTATATTTTTTTGTTTTTTTGTTATGAATATACTCTACTGACAAATACTGATTTCTGTAAAGTATACATTTATTTATCTTGCGTTTCAGCCTTAAAGCTCTGACAAAATATTCAAACTAAGGAAAATGAAAAGTATTACTTACTGATAAGTATTATATGGCAAAATTACAGTGAATAAACTTTGCATAGTGTGATGATATTAGTCAAATGCGATTCCTGCTATGATACATTTTTCTTACCATCCTCTAACAACTCTGATTGATGCTTCTCTTGAAAACACCCAGATGGTAGCATCTATCACATCACGATAAATTTCTAGTTTATTTGTGTTCCCATGAAAATCACAAATAATCATCTGCAATGACATGCAATAATGCAATAATGTAAAACAAATTTGGTACATTCATTTTTTATTCCTCTTATATCAATGTTATTGTGCTCTTGATGCAAACATAATGTATTTGCATTACATAATTATTAAGCTAGTTTTGATGACTTGAATTTTATGGGTCTAGCCGACCAGGCTAGCTTATTTAGGTCATAAAATGAAATCATTACAAGAATACTGTCTCAAACCTATCAACCTCCTTATTGCATTTCATTGTTGTAGCAGATAACTAGGTTAGTTATATCAAGGAAAATAGACTTCCTTTCTGTACTTGTCCCTCATTTATTCCTCACTTTTGAAAAATGTTTATGACAAAGCAGACAATACTGAAATTTTATTGTTTTATATAAAATTACACTCACTTTTCCTGGTCTTGGATTGCACTTGAGTATGTTCCTATCAACAGGACACTATAATCAGAAAAAAAGAAATAATTTTAATACTACAATAAGCCAAGAAAAGATATTTTAAACAACGTGTTATGAAGCAAATCTTAGCATTTTTAAGTAAAGGTGTATAAGTATGCTAACAAACCATTTCTGAAAACCCCAAATACACAAGTTAAACTTGTAGAAAAATACATTTTGTGATTTCATTCAAAACTATCAGCAGAGTATTCTGAGTCAGTTCTTACAATTCCTATTAAAATATAAAAGGCTGTGTACAATATTACTTTCCTCATATTATTCATCAGAAGAAGATATGGACTATTATGTTTTAAGCAGATTTAGAAATGTAAGCATGCATGCTCATTTATCAAACATTATTGCAAGAAACAGATATCAGTCTGCCTGATAATAAAGTGATGGTGCATCAGCTCAGAATGTTCACTCTTCTCACACTTATAACTCATTTATGAAATAACGTTTCCTCATATCCTACCTAAAATCCCAGGGAAAAAAAGGGTAAAAAGAAAAGTATTTTTCAATTCAAATTCTGCCTAGTATATTGTAGACTGTACAATGTATAGAGTGTATATTGGATACAGTACATTGAAAGAGTACCATATTATGAACCAAATTCTCACAGTAAATTAAGCAGAATTAATAGATTCAGAATTTTGTTTATATGGATAATCTATCTCCATAATATATTTAGCTTAAAGATGTGTGTATATAGAAGAAATTGTACCCTCTGACTATCATTAAGTGATGTACCTTATGATTCTTGATGAATGTATCTTGTNTGTGTGCATAACCAGAAACCATTCTAAAGCATCTTTTAATAAAGATGTGTAATTTACAAAGCAAACCTTAGAACCATTTTTGCTGTTTTGAAAAATGTGAAGACATATTCCCAGCTTTATGACATGAGAGTGACATATGTAAATTACTCGCATTACACTCCACAAAAGAGGAATAAATTAAGGGACAATAAACCAAGGAACTGTAGACTGATTTAAAGTTGTATCTTACACGAAGTTATCTTTGGCCTCATCCTATGTTTTATCTTTCTATTGTCAATCCAGATAAGATAAACATACTATTAATACAAAATATCCAGTTTTAAAATTCTCTAGGGAAGTCCCTCTTGTACATTCTGCAAACTCCTAAGTTTTGATGAGAATTAAAAAGTTGATTTTTTTAAAAATGATGATACTTCCACTAACTTTTTCATTGAAAACTATCAACTAATACATTTATAAAAGCTTTTGATTAGCAAGTTAAGATATTTATAGTTGATTGGTGTGAGCTTTTATCTGTTTTAATGAAATTTTTTTTTAACTGATTTAGTTTTTAGTGGGCAGGTATTTACATATTTTAATATTTGTAATAGTTGTTAATAACAAAATCATACTTACATTCCACCAATGACACGTATTGATCCAATTCCCTGGAAAGTATCAGAATCTTCAAAAAGTATTGGAATGCAATCAGTATTCTCAGACAGTTTTTTACACCATCCTCCAAAGTGTGGACTTTCATATATTATCATCTACAGAAAATGGGAAAATTGATCCTTTAAAATACATTTCTAATCCTCTGTTTATTTGGTAGATTGAATAAAGGTTTAATTATAAAACACGAAAGATTTATATGATTTGAAGAAACTGCAAACTCTGTCTAATCAGCAGCTTCAACTGAGCATTCCATATTTATGATTTCAACCAGAGTTTCTTAAGAGACATTCCATTAGAAGGGAAACAAGAGAATTTTTGTTGGAATACTTCCCACTGCAGAGCTGCCCCCTCAAAAAAAAAAAAAAAAAAAGAAAGAAATATGTTCTTTTCATCAAAAATTGTGCATGTGCACGAGGAACCTAACTCAGTGTTTGCACTCTGCAGACCTCCCAAAAATGCCCCATTTATCACAAAAATGGGCCCATTTTTTGAAAAAAAAAAAAAAAAAGCAAGAAAAGCAGATGAAGAAAATGTATTTCTGTTGCTCTAGTTACTCTGGATTTATATGATTGTAAGAAAGCATAATTGAAATCAATGACAACTTTATTTGTTGATGCTCTTAAATGTCTGAGGGGAAATATGGATGGAATAGTAAGATTGGTTTAGTCAACACATATCTACTATAATTTGCACTTCTAAAATAAATCTTTAAATATTAGTAGTAAAGAATACCAATTTGTTTTCTTTTACATAAATAGATTCCTCTTCCTAAAAGGATACTGTGCTTACCATAGTATTCATAGGCATCTGCACCTTTAGGCCACCCTAAAGTACAAAATAAAATCAGAAATATGATTACATATTTCCATATTAATACATAGTATATAATGTTAATATAGTGATTCTATGAGATACCTTATAAATCAATCAATCACTGAGTCATTATTTATATTTCTTCTGTTCACCTTTACTTGTTTTAGGAAACTTGATTGATTTCATGAATAAAAAAAACTTCATCAACATCACGGCCGATTAAATTGATTTGTTCTGTTATAAAGGGCCAATATGCCTAGGAATTTTTTTCTTTTACTTTATAATTCATAGTACCAACAAGAAACTTTAGAGTTACTAAATACTAAATATTTATAAGGGTTGAGGCAGTTGAGGTGGGTACATGCAGTTTCTGGAGCAGATATGACTGCTATATGAGCATACAACTACTTATTTTCAAGGCAACAAATTACTATAGCCATTAATTTGGATAAATCAGAGAAACTTTTGAAGTTTTGTTTGCAATAACAATTTCAATTTAGTCAAGTTGTACCTGAGATTTTCTAGTCAAATCAAAATAAACTGAGCTAAACTAGTTAGGTATCAGGGAGGTCTACTACTATTACTAATTTTTCCCATGGAACTGGTACTTTTTAAAATCATGAATGCAAAATTTGTAATGACACAATATTGATATTTTTTGAAAGTGACAAAATATATTCATACAAGTTGTAAGGAAATATATTAGTAGCAATCCAAAATAATTTTACAGATATAAATTTCTATTATAGAAAATAACTAATGTCTATATGGATTCAACTACAATAATAAGAGTATCAAACCACTATAACTTCTTCAATCCTGATTTAGCATTTAGCATCCTATAACTAAAGGTGATAATGACAATTATTTATTTTTTCTTCAGTATTTCTGAAGCAATATCTTCTAAGTCAAACATAATTCCCTTTGTCAAGTCACCAGAAGTTTGAATTTAACAGACACAGATTCTTCATCAAAAGGTTAATAGCTTATTTCTGAACTCATAATAATATGACAAAATAAATATGAATGTTCAAGCATGGGCACATTCAGATTCAGATTCAAAATGCCTGTAGCAATTTAAATTGGTTATAGGCATTAATAACTCCTTACCATTTTCAATGGTCGAAAAGATTTTACAGCAGTGGCTGAAAGTTTACATGGGCCTTGATTTTCTTCTAATACTGTTCTTTCTCCTTTGTAATCAGTATCTGAATAAGCAAGCCATCTATTAAAATGAAGAATTAGCCTATTAACATGATAATTAATGTGCAACTTTATTCATGTATCTTGGATTAGTACACATTATTGAAGGAGCATATGATCTTTTAAAATATGGTATTTCATTTTACTATCATAGATTATAGTCACATCACACAAGTAGGCAACATTTTTGAATGCATGGGTACATTTGGAATTTTAAAAAGTATAAACGTTGGCGAGGAGCCAACGCCATGACGATATGGACATGCGGTCTCGATGCCCCGAGCCCGCTGCCGATACTTTTGCCGCTGGATGGTCCAATTGGGCCTAAACTGTCCCAGAGAGATGGTGAACAGGAAGAATATGTCTTGCTGATCTCAGGGACACCGCAAAGTCCCTGATC